AATACTACTACTACTACTACTACTACTACTACTACTACTACTACTACTACTACTACTACTACTACTACTACTACTACTACTACTACTACTACTACTACTATATGTGTTATTTCTCGGCGCGCCCTGCCGCACCGCGTCGCTCCGCTACCTATTGCTACATGGACACGTATACGGAAAGTAACTATAGTTAACTATTCTACCTAGACTGGAAGGATAGAGGTGGAGAAAGAGAGAAAGAGAGAGCATACCATTCTTATTATTATTATTATCACCTGCTGCCTATCTATCTAGCTGCACTGGCGCTGGTGCGGGGTTTGGGGATTTACGAGGCCATGGCCAAGGTACACACGGATGAGGCAATGAAAACGAATCTTTGGCAAAAAGGGGGGTTAGGACTGGTAAACGAGCTCAGTCAGAATGAATGATACCATATTGCGTATGTACATTACGCACAACGTAATTTTTTGGGGCCGTCTCTATGGTTTTTTTCCCCGGGTGTTTTTCTGATTACTATTATGCATCTGTGTTTCGTCATCTACTTGCTAGAATGACAGCTTATTTACTATGCCCCTATTCTACGGCCTTTCGTATAAGCAAGGTAAATACTAGCCGTCTCGACAAGTATTTTATTGTATTCACAAACATACCTCTCACACAAGCAAGTGCCTGGTATTAAATATCTTAAGACCGGGCCTTAACCATTTCGTAACCCTAATTAATTACGGCACTTAGAGCGTATCTATCTATCCAGAGCCTCTTAACTTAAGATGTACACACGCCTGCCTACCTAAACTTAGCTCGACTCCCGAGCAAGCCTAATAGCTTACAAGCAGGACAGGCCAAGCCGTAGCACTCATATACATAACACCTAGGTTAGAATGTTCCATTCCGTTCCTGTACGTCCATCTCGTGTCTCGTAATAGTCTCCGCCGTCATGCAAACGAAACGCCACCCAATGCACCAATCCACAGCATGCTTTTAAGAATAAAGTCGCGCGAGGGGTATAACCGCCCAGAACCCAAAATGAACAAATACGGAGAACACTGGGTACCAACGCGCGATTCGTACCTGATCCTTAATTAATAAGTACCATCCTAGAAGTGTCCAAAGATTCCCGTGACTATTGAGAGTCCTCTAGACCCTTCTCAGCGTCCTTGTCAACCTCGACTTCCTTCACTCCATCTAGTTCGGATTCCTTTTCCTTCTCGGGAACTTCCTTCGTAGGAGTCATCGGGCGACTAGGGGCTGGTGTTACCAAGACTTGTCCCGGTAAGCCATCAACCATCTTCGCAGAACTAGGCCGAGTACCGCCGCTCATCCGTCTCACGAGAATAGGATTAGGGCGGTCTAGGTCCACTTGAGAAAAGTCCCTGGAACTCCATGAAGCGCGTTGCACCTTCGCTCCGCGGGGTATACTGCTGACCGAACGCCACGAACTGACACTAGCAGTGCGACTGGCCCTTCCCACAGGACCGTGTGACACACGAACTGGGTTTATATCGGCCAGGTAGTCATCATCCTCATCTTCGATCTTAGGAGCTCGTCGAACAGACTTGACAGTGAAGTAGGGCTCTGGTGGTAGCTCTGGGAATTTCTCCGTAGAACCTGATTCCGTTCCTACTTTCGATTTAGGCTTCGGTGGGGGAGGCTGGTCAGTTGCCCTTTGCTCAATATGTTCAAAGTAACGAATTCGAATTCCTTCAAGGCTCTGCGAAGTGAAATACTCGCGATTTCGAGATAATGACATCCACGAGGATATGCCGCCGAGGATTATTAGGATCATGACCGAAATCGTAAGAAGGGCCTGGATCACGATAATGACGACCCCAATCACCGTGACCACGATGCGATTGAGATTAAAATCAGGAAGAAAAGCAATCGAGAGGCCGGTGGTTATCACTCGGGTGAGTGCTAGCAACCAAACCGCCAGAGCGGTATTGCGCTGCCCTTCATAGGGATTAAGGGCCGCGATAAAAATAAGAGCGAGGATATCGACAATAAACAATCCGAAAACCTGGGCGAGGGGATTACCCGAACCACCCCCTAGAAAACAACCGCGGATGAACTGATAGAGCAACCAAAATGCGAAAAACCACCACATCGAGAGTCTATAACGCGCAGACAGCCAGCCAAATCGTTTCACATACATCTCATCCTGGTGGATGTTTTTCCGATTGGGGTCTTTATCAATGAAATGCCAGCGAACGAAAGGCAGGGAACCAGCTGGCTTCTCTCCCAATTCTTCCTCTTTCAATTGACTGAGACGGACCGGTGCCAAGCAGGGAACATACCCAAAGATCTTACCACGCCGTAGCAAGATCCGGTCAGGATCCATAGAGAATGTGCTGAAACGCAACCGAAAGTGTAGCGCATATAAGACCAAGCCGCCCATGCCAACCAATAGGATAACGAAAACAATCGCAGCTATCGCAGTCGGTCCAGCAGAACCGTGGATGGCAAACTGGAACATGGCTAGAGTGGTAATAGAGAAGAACGCAATAAATAACGTCCTTAGAACAGCAAGGCTTAAGTAGCCCGTCCAACGAGATCGGAAATATTCCAAGCGATCTTGTTTGATCCATTTAAGTTTCACCAAGCCCTCAAGAGAATATTTGAAAGCGATTAGTAGGACAACCACAAGCCCGAGCACGACAAGGAGCCAGATTAATCCAACCATGAACGCATTCGGAGCAGGAATGCTTAACTCAGACAGCTCACCTGCAAACCCAGGAGAAGTGCCAGGCAATGGCATCCCCGGACGAACTGGATTGCCATTCCAGTTATAATCGTAGGGATCATTCGGATCGTAGGGCTGTCTCTTCGCCAGAGCATTCACAGCACCTTTCAAAATCTCCGGACCTCTCCTAGATAGTTCGATAGCGACGTACGATATGAACGAACGGCCATAAATCTGTTGAGTGAGACCTCCTTGGTTGTTGATCACCGTGCTGCCGGCTCCTCCGACCTGACTTGCATTGCCGCTGACGCCAACAAATGGGTTAATCGAATTCGCCACCTGAGCGCTGGGTACCAAGCCAGCAGCCCACGCAAAGTTGCTCCACCACGCCGGAAGTACGCTGGGCCAAGGTAGCGATAGCGCGCCAGAATAGAATATGGACTGAAAAGTTTCGAATATGACAAGGACGGACAATGAGTGAGCATAATGGCTCCTCATATGGGGTATGCTGACACCATAAGCTGCTGTCGCAAACGAAGCTATTATAGCCACGAGAGTAAAGACGCCTAGGACGGTACTGATCGATTCAGGTTGCGAAAACGTATTCCCGTTCTTCATCACGGCTTGGAAACACCCAATTTCGGTTTGGCTAGAGTTGGCGAATACCTGTATCCTCGCGAACCCCTCGAGGTCGGGAACTTCGTAGGCGATTTGCGGTATCCCGGAAACCTGTAGTGGGCCGACTGGTAGCAAGGCAAAAGCCTCGATGGGCTGTTCGGCCTTCATGGGGCACATGCTAGTTGGAATTGTCAGCATCGGGGGGCATGAAACTTAGTTAGAAAAGCGTACCTGTAGATATTCACATCGCACGGGTTTACGGTCATCGCAAATCTGCTTTCGCCGTAAGCTTCGACGGATATATATACTAGACGAACAGTTAGTCGAGAGTTCTCGCACGAGGGACTAGTCTTCCTACGCATAACGGCTTCATTGCGTATATTGGTAATTCCGTCGAGGTGGAAGAGGACGGTGGAATTATCGTAGTAGAAGGCGGCGTCGAACTTGGTGACATTCAGCAAGCTCTGTCCACCAAGACAATCACCAAAGTCGCCCGTATATAAAGCAGGTCGTCTGTCGAGCGCTAAACTTGCTGTGACGCCGTCGAGGCTCATGCCGGTGATATATTGAGTATCCTTAGCCCACGTCGTCGGTAGGAGAGACAGCCCGCCGAGAATGGGAAGCATTAGCGTATCGAACAGGCGATGGGCTAGCATCTTGGTGACGGGAGGCACCTCAGAACGGCCATCAACGATAGAGTAGGTGTATTAGGTGTATTAGGTGGATGTTGAGTTGTGCAGATGGTCGCTAATATTCTTTACCTAAAGGTTTGGAGAGATGCGAAGATAGTCGTTGAAATCGACCTTCGAGAATAGGGCGAAATGTGAATATCATCGATCGAACATCTGCATTTTTTGAGAAACGCAGCGAGAATTGTTGTATTGAGTGCTATCATAAGAGTGCTGTACTTGCTTGAGGTTGCATGGAAGTGACAAGTTATTCGTACCAATAGGTATCTAAGACCGGGGTGTTGTCCTTGTGTAAACCGCCGAAACAAGTCGCGGGGCCGCGCAAAAGTTGAGGGAGACTATTCCGTATTGGACAAGGTAAAGTGGGAATCTCTAGTTGCTAGAGGGTCACACAAAGCTTTTATGAACGTGTATGTCGGCCCATGAAGGACAATCACGGAAGAAGCGGTTGTGATATGGGAGCTGATAACGATATGTATTACACCAGGCACCTAACCTACGCGCGGGTTAGGTAAGTTCCACCACATATAATCCAATTCTAAACTACCCCCTGTGCCTGCTGTCTAGATCGAATGTGAACGTGTTGACATGGAAAGACCTCACTTACCCTCCCCGTCACTTCCACTTCCGTGCTCCGTCCATTGGGTTTCCAGTGGAGCGGTCGCTGCCGCCCAAGCCGTGGCGACTAGGACCTGACAGGCCCTGGCAGGGGAGCCTAAGATCGCCTTTTATTGGTAGACCCGTCCCGTAACGGGAAGTCAGATGCCAGCTCATGTTTGCTATGTACCTAGGTACCTAGGTAAAACAAGTAACCTACAGGTAGTCAACTTCCATAACATACTATTTTTTTTTTCTTGATTTATCTGGTTATCTTTTACTAGGTAGGTACATTAGGTAGTATACTAGTGTATATTAGTCTGATCCCAAAGAAGGGTCTAGGCGCGTCCAAACCCGACGAATCATCTCCATGTCAGACAGCTGAAGTTGCCTCCGGGGGCTGTCATTCGCCTATCTATAATATAACTCTATTGGTTGTTTAACCATCCACTAGCTATATCTGAACCAAATGTAAGATGTCCTACCTATATACAATATTCATTCCGGTAAAGAGAGTGGTGTAAAAAAAACCCCCCCCGACTGTTTGCTTTGCCATGCTTTACTTCGTCATCATGAACTCGTCATGTACTATCACATAACTCCAGTTCGTACAACAGTCCCGTTGTAAAGATTTTAGCAACAGGCAAATAGACAAATTATTGTCACCTACGGTAAACGACTCAATAGCAAAGTATAAAAGAAGTTTTAACACCCCAAAAGTGGCAGCTATAATTTATATATATGCAAGCGCCTAGAAGCTCAAATTTGAGGGATTAATCAATGGATTAATCAATGTACAACTGACGTTGGAAAACACGAAAGATAGATACCCTTGAACCCCACCACTGCAGGGGCAGTAGAGTCGCCATGAAATCTAGCTATCAGGTCAAAATGCACTTCAATGATGGTATCAACTCAATAAATCTTTGCCCCATGTTGAATCATGTATTGGCTATATCTTTCTCGACTCTTCACACTGCGAGTGCGGGGTGAAGAGGGGGAATCTCCTTTACGAAGTGAAAGACAGCATGAACGCCAAATAGATGCAAGTAAAATTGTATAGCTGCGTGCCAAAATTTGAGGGCGCGAGCACGAGGCCACGATTAAATTAAACCCCATGAACCCAGCACATGGAGGCCATTTCTCTCTAGCCGCCCGATCCCAGTCCGCCGAATTGGCTTGGCGAACATATCATGAGCTCGTTGGTATACTGTAATGCGAATGTGAGCAGGCCAGAAGAACATTGGTCTCGAATGGTATCGGTAATTCTTTTTTCATGTCGTGATAATCGTGAAGTAGAGCAAATCCAATATTCAATACGCCCAAAGGCAAGGCAAAAGAAAAAAAAATCATAATTGACCGATTACACATAATTTTCCTCGTCGTCCTCCTCAATGGGGGCAGGAGTCCTCCTTTCGTTTCTGCGCTTAGGACGCCTGTGTCTTGAGCTTGAGATGTTACTCGCCGAATCCTCAGGAGCCAAGTCGAAATCATCGCCTCCCCAATCGCTCTCGCTCATACCGTCATCATCTCCTACAGCCCATGGTGGTCTTTCAGAGCCTTGTGAATTACCGGAAAGTTGTGGCAAGACATCGATCCTTCCGGCACGGCGGTGCTGCTGGCTTAGCAATAGGCCATTGTTGCGCTGGCGGAGAGCGTTTCGCACTACTTCGGCACGTTCGTGAAGCTTTTCAAACGCGTCTTCAAGGGCTTCCATACCCTGGTAAATATCCCTTTCTACCTCAGCTAGGACAGCCATTTCAACCTCTTCATCATAGGATACAGGCTGGCGGCTATGGCCAGGCGCAGCAGACGACGACAGCGAAACAAAAGAAGCAGGCGTTGCGCCACGAGAATATACGCCAGAGAAGGGTGTAGTGCTACGAGACCCGCCGAATCCTGACGCATGGCGCATACTGGTCCCTCGTGGTGGGGGGGATGAGAACCCATTCGCGGGTGTACCACCTCGAGATTGTGGATTATCGGCAGTAGGTGTTATCGCGTCATCAGCATCAGCGCCAGACCAGAGAAAGCCGTCAAAACGGCCCGATATGAGAATTTCCCACTCTTGGGGGCTAATGTCGGTGATAGTTGCAAGAAGATCATGGTGAAAAGGGTGCTTGACGAGAAACACGGCTGTTTCTGCATCGCGAGGTGCTTGAGGTAGACGGTAGATGCGCTGAAGTGCTAGACCCGTTTTGACCATGAAATCTGTTCTTGGCTTACGCATTGGTGTAGGTGCTCTCAGAGAAGGCTGTAATTCTCGGGCACCAGAAATTAACGCGTTGAAGTACGGTTGCTCATGCTGGTCGAGATTGGTCAAGATGGCAAATGTCAGCGTCTCATCGTCGATCTCAGAGGGCGCTGGCGCTGGCGCCTCAGCGCAGTTGCTCATCCATCGATCGACTACAGACCTGACCTTCTTGGATTGTCGCAGATAGTGATCCCTAAACTCTTCTGCGATATCCGGGTCTAACTTGATCGGGGAAGCCGGCCTAGGAGGCATGTCTTGTGCAGTCTCAATCGCATTTGCAGAAAGAGAGGGAAGATCAAATGGGGGCCACGCTGGCATTTCAACCCTGCCTCCTACCCGTTCTAGTACCTCGCCCCATCCTAACCCTCGGTGCTCTTCTGGTGTCTTTTCACACATGATACAACTGCAGCCCTCGGCAGGAAGATCTCGAGAGAATACATCTTCCAATCGGTCGAGTAGCCGCCGTGCGACAGACTTATGTCCTGTTGCTACTGCAACCGAGCCCTGCTTTTGAATGACCGATTGATATTGATCAAGGAGATTAAAGAAAGGTGCGAATAGAGTGTCCGCGCCTGCTAGAGGAGGGTTTGAGGGTCGTGATCCATTCTGGCGTGGTATCACAGAAAGGAAATTCCTTGGTAGCGTATGAGGTAGACCGCCGTTCTGAAGTAGGTAATCAATCCTGGGGACTTCCTGAATATTCAATGGGGGAGGCGGAGGCGGAGGCGGTGGTGGAGGGCCGAAATCAGATGCTGGGGTTGCTGAAGGCGTAGGACGTTCTTGTCTTTCACGCCTAGAGTTAAAGCTAGGCTTCACATCCGGAAAGGCTTGCGGCGGCGGAAATTGTGGCGTAGCTGTAGGTGTTCTCGGTGATGAGTCCTGTATAGAGTCTGGGGAATCTTCGGCTTCGGCTGGGCTAGGATTCCCACGGGATCTTGTCGAGGCTGTCCGTTTAGGAGCAACAGGAGTAGCAGTTGAGGAAGTCCCTACAGTTTTATTATCGCTCAGTTGGGATGCCTCACCATTAACTCGTACGCCGAATGGCGGAGGCGGTGGAGGCGGGGGAGGAGGAGGTGGCGGGTAGGATGGAGTTGGAGGAGATTTGATAGTGGAAGCGTAGCTTGAAGCTTTAGATTTAGTAGACAGCTTCGATTTCTCATCGTGCTTCGAGTTAGATCGTGATAAGCCGGAGGTCCTTGATTGAGGTCGGTCTGAACCCGATTCCATCTCCTCTCTCAACTTCGAGGTGGGTGTTTTGCTTCGTCTTTTCTTTTCTTCGGATAAATCTGTTTCGGGAGGGCTAGGCGGCCGACCATCTTTCTGGGTATTCTTCCTACTTATACCACCTGTCGATTTAGATCTGCCTATGTTACCGGAACCAAGATCTGTGGTATCTGGAGTAAAGGGATCATTGTGGGCGGACGCCCCTACGTCTTCGCGGCTGAGTACAGCTTCTTTGCTGTGGGCCTTGCTAAAGGTAGGGTATGGCAAGCTAACCCGGCTGCCAGAAAGGGTTGTCCTTGAAAGTTCGGGTACTAGGTCACTCATTGAAGATGTCCTTCTGTCACGGTCCCTCTCTTTCTCTTCCTTGGCTCGGTGTCGTCGATGTGAGGAGGTGTGCGAATCCCCATCAGTACTGGCTTTATGCTTAGAACGGTGTGATTTATGGTGGTGATAGTGACTATCCCTGTCACTCCTAACCCGTTCCTTATCCTTTTCTCTATCACGCTCCCGCTCACTCTTTCTACGCCGAGGGTCTCTTGAGCGGGTATCGCTGGTTGCGTCGGCATCAGGGTCTCTGGAGCCCATTGTGGCGGACCATACGAGCCCGACCGGGCCCAACCGCTAATTCGATTTGACGAGGGAGGGTCGTCGAACTTATTCGAGGGATGGCAGAGGGTCCTTGATTGGAGAGGGTTCAGGGTAAGGACGAATGAATTCAATGCTTCAGTGGTCGTAATTAGGAATCTAGGGGTTTATGCAATGCGTTCGTTGGCAACAAAAAAAAAAGGAAAAACATTACATGTAGATGGCAAGAAAAAGTGGTGAAAGCAACATAAGGCACATTGCATGTTCCAATGTTCCAATGCTCCAATGTTCCCAAAAAGATATGCAAGGGAAGGTGACGGCGGCTATTGGAGTCTTTCCACACGCTACGCAACTGCCTGTGATTCGTCCAAATCGGGCATGGACGTACCCGTACCTATCGCTTAAGGTGGGGTCGCTATATCCCGCAGACCTCGACTTTCTAATAATTTGGTTTGTTTGATGCATATCTATATATAGAGAGATCTGGCATAACATGAACAGCCTGATCGGAGATCGTCACAGCAAAATCTATTTATTTATTTATTTGCTTTAGTAGTGCTCAAAGATTTCTCCAAACTCGAGTCGAGTTAACCCGAGTGCCGTTTACACCCCCATCGGTAGTGTACGGTTCTATGTATGTATATATATATATATATATATATGTGTGTGTGTGTGTGTGTGTGTGTGTGTGTTATAAATCCCATAAATCTTCGTAATATATGACCTGGTACGTTGATCGTAGGTCTATCCGGGTCTTCCTTTATTCCTTCACAAATGTCCTTTTAAAAGCCTAGGAAAATACATATAAACTTATCTCGTTTATAAGCGGTCTAGTAAACCACGGCTCTCCAGCATCAGAACGATCTGGTGCACGATGGATCGCACTGTCTGCTTCTCGCCATCTACTACTAAATCGGCCTTAGAGGGAGCCTCATATGGGTCATCAACACCCGTGAATCCCTTGATCTCACCAGCACGAGCCTTAGCGTAGATGCCTCTCTTGTCCGTCTTCTCGCAGTACTCAAGAGGAGTAGCGACGTGGACAAGGTAAAAGTCGCCGTATTTCTCAATGGCCTCCTTAGCAGCTGCTCGGTCCTTGTCAAAAGGCGCAATAGGGGCGGCGATGACAGCAGCACCGGACCTGGTCAGCTCGCCAGCGACGAATGCGATACGAGCAATGTTGGTGCTGCGATCTTCTCTGCTGAAACCCAGTTCAGACGACAGCTCGTGGCGCACAGTCTCACCAAGCAGCATAGAGACCGATCGGCCGCCCTGCTGGTTCAGGGTAACCTGAAGAGCTCTCGCGATCTGGTCCTTGCCGCTGTTTGTGTAACCGGTTAGGAAGACAGTAAATCCCTGAGCAGCACGGGGAGGATGCGACTCGCGCAGTACTTTAACGACCTCAGGATATGAGAACCACTCGGGAATATCTCGGCCGCTCCTCAGTCGCGAGCGCAGTTCTGTACCGGAGATGTTTAACGTGCGGGTATCCTTTGGGATCTCGTCGATAGGCGCGTACTCGTCCTTGTCGGGTAAGTATGTCATCATTTGGAAGGGCACAACCTCAATGCCAAGTTCGTCGCGGTATTTCTCAACCGCGTACTGGGCATCGTAAGGTCCATAGAAATCAACACCTTGGCTGTTCTTTCCGGGACCAGCGTGGTCACGACCAACGATGAAGTGAGTTGCTCCGTGATTCTTGCGGATAATGGCGTGCCAGATAGCTTCGCGGGGGCCACCCATTCGCATAGCCAACGGGAGGAGACCTAAGACCGCCATGCCATTGGGGTATCTTGGCAAGAGAGCCTTGTAGACTCGCACTCGTGTGAAGTGGTCAATATCTCCGGGTTTTGTCAAGCCAACCACCGGGTGAATGAGCACATTTGCGTAATGCGAACGAGCAGCACGAACTGTTAGCTCTCGGTGAGCACGGTGCATAGGGTTCCTTGTCTGGAAAGCAACAACACGGCTCCAACCAAGTTTGTCAAAGTGCAATCGGAGCTCAGCCGGAGTGTCTATCGCGAGGATCAGGATTAGCTTCAATGGCGTAACGGTTTTTAGATTATAGTGGTTAGACTTACATCGAAGGTCTACAAAGTCATAGTGCTGTAGACGGTTGACAGCTTCTACCTTACCACCGACGTAAAAATCAGCAGCAGTTCTGAAGAGATATTTAACAGCGGGATGCGCTTCATCATCGCTTCCGAAAACTTCCTTAGCTTCGAGGACCCTGTTGTGCTAATGTGTTAGTGGTGTCGATTGCGCAAGAATTAGCGGGCGAGGAGTTTCCCGTACTTGTCTGGCTTGTAGATATCGTCCACGGTAAGAATGGCCAAACTCCTGTCGTCACGAAGATCGCGTAGCGTCACTCGGACACCTGGTTTTAGACCAACTTCCTTAATAGTTTCGTCAGATAGATCTAGAGTGATGGGTATGCTGAACAGAATGCCGTCGGCTAGCCTATTCTCCTTTACAACACTGTGCAAGACAGTCAGCGCTTGGTCTTGTTACTCATGTGGCCCAGTTGTTACATACCCATTATAGTCGGCCTCGTTCATGAAACCTAGATGTGAATTTGTGTAAGCTTGGCTTCATTCCGAGAGCACCGGTCCTCGTATAATAATCGTGGCTTGGCCAATAACAAGCGTGGGTATAGAAAATAGGGTAGAATCATGTAGCACCAGACAAAATGAGAAGCACGGATGTCAAAGATCAGACATGGTAATAGGTAAACATACCTTCCAGAGGTGAGAAGCCGCCATTAAGGATCAGTTCAAGGTCACAGAGCTGTCTCTCGGTCAGGGTAATGGCGGGGAGAGTTTCAGCTTCGGCCTCGAGCTGGGCTTGTCTAGAAAAGTCTCTGGCAATAAGGTCCTTGAGGACGCCGCCATGGGGAGGATTCGCCATTGTCTCGGAATATAACTTGGGCAAATGTAGATTATAGTAAGGACAGACTGAGAGAATGGGAAGAGCGCTAGAGACTATTGACTCTGGTTCTTAATAAAAGACCAGGAGCAACAGATAATAAGGGAGGATAGATAATCAACACGTATGGAACATACAACTATGTTGACGTGCTATTATAGAAGATAATACGGAAAGTCGAGAGCCGACATAGCCACTTGCTAGGTTATAGATAAAAAGAGAAGAATAAATGTAAAATAAAATAAAATAGAGCTAATTTCGATGCCGTTCACGCTACGTAATTGGTAGCAGAGATGCAGTCTCTTCAGGGCAGATTTTACGCAGCGACCATATGGGATGGAGACTAAGACCTGGGCGAAAAAAAACCGAATCAAATAGCATTTAGCCTTGATGACGTGCTCAAGGACTAGCGAGAGCCGTCGCCTAGAATGTAGCACCGGCGGTTCTCGTTTGTCACTGGACCGACGCGGCCCTTTTGAACGAATTGGGAAATCAAGCAGTCCGAAAAAAACATGCTGGACAACAACGGCTCTCGGGACCCAGTAGCCCTGATGATGCCTTAATTTGCGTAAATGAGAGCAAATGTTTTATCTGATGTCGATCGCGGAGCACGTATACCAAATCTTGGGGTAAATTGAATACATAATGAAGAAGAGATGGCGACCTTCTTCAGCTCTTAGCTTTCTTCAGCTGCGGAGGTATGTACTTCGGTACCATCTACCCCTCTCTCCACGAAACGCCCCGACTTTTTGCAATGTTCCAATATACATCTTTGATAACCAGCGGATGGTGGAATTAGGCTCTGCCAAATTGGTATTCAGGACGCAATATGCCACGATAAAATTACCTACACCCTAATTTTGTTCATCACCCTTTCTCACTATCCTCCTTCTTGCAAGCATTCATCGTGTTTTACAAGCAAATAGTAGCTATGTGTTCTGATCTGTGGTACAAACTTGCAACATCCAGCAAACTGCCAGGATATATCCCTCAGATATTTTGGACATTACAACACAAAAGAAATGGAAAGGTAAAATGACGTAAACATGGTTGAACACCTTATGCCTTCACCTAATCCTCAAATTTATTAGCCTTATCCTTCTTGCCCTTACCTTTTGAAAGTAGGTCATGAACATATTGACGCCATCCAGATGCCGCATCGCTATGTGTTGTATCTCGTGCCGCCGCTTCTATAGTTGTAGGGCCGACTGGAGGAGTGTGCCAGTGGTCTCTATCCGGCGTAGGAAGAGGTACTACCGTTATAGAAGATGAAGTATCTACTGGCGTAACATTTCCCGAGGTCGATCCTACGATTATAACACTGCTATTAGAAATCTGGCCCGGTATGGATACTATCGTTGATGTTTGAAAGGTGGTTGGATGACCATTGCTACCGAACAACGTTGTATTTGCTATCATTTCGATCAGTTATCGCTATTCAAAATACATCTCCGGTTTATATCTACTTACATGATGAACTATCAGTACACAATGTGGTCGAAGACGGCAAGGGAGCGGGAGTTCCCGTCGCGCCCTCGACACCTGATGCGAATGATGTAGCCGATGAAGTTAAGGTTGCCACAGATCCCGGCTGAGTAAACCCATCATCGGTGCAAGTTGTATCAATGGTGGCAGGAGGGATCTCGCTTTCTGTACAAATTGTGTTAGGCTCTTGAGTTGTTGGAAGTTCTTCAGTACAAGTGTCCGAAGATAATGTCGTAGTAAAAGAGCCTAATGGCGAAGATGAGGTTATTTGAGGGGGAATTCCCTGTCCGCCTGGACTACTCGATGTAGTTGTTCCTGTGGTAGACGCTCCCGACGGTAAAGAAGCCGAAGTGGTCGAGTTCAAGAACATAAACGAGGTAGAACTGTTCCCGGCAGGTGATTGGCTTATGGCCCCTGATGCCGTAAGAGACACGGTAATCCCTGATTTTGTGGACGGGACGGCCGAGATGCCACTTGAACTCGGTAGTAGACTTGTAGTGGGTCCGAGTGATGAACTGCTATTCGACAGACCATGAGATACAGAGAGCAGTGTAGATTGGACTGTCGGGTTAGGAGTGACAACGCTCGGCGGGGAGGTTGCTTGGGATATCGATTGGGTACTGGTCCCTACCGACTGTCCAGTAGGACCACTAGTCGAGAATCCATGGGAGATCGACGTATTCGAGAATGGGAAGGGAACAGAACTTGAGACTCTAGTGAAGGAACCAGTTACACTGGTGGTGACACTCTCACTTCCAGTGATAGTTTGATTAGAGATGGTACTAGATGAGTGAGTTGGACCCAATGATATCGTTGAATTTGAAACAGAGGATGGAAGCAACGTCTCTGATGCC